ATATATGTATACTGAGTGAGGTGGGAGTGGGATGATTTGCTATATGTATAACTAAATTATTCCTGATAGAAGAGTTTCTCAACTTTTTGAGGGAATGGTGAAAGAAGAAGGTTTCTTCCAAGTTGATTTTTATTTTGCATTGGAATTTTAATTATTTATTTTAATTCGGGCATTATGCAGTAACTTCACTCTCAAGTCTTAAACTCTATCCATGATTTAACACACATTACACACAACCTTCAAGATTCGAGGTACAAGAATAACAAAATACAAGTCGAAGCGCAACTATTCGCTCCTCTTTCCCCGTCATGTAGGCAAGAGCGCTTAACTTTCACCGAGGGGTCGACAAATAACACATTTCTATAGCAATGTATAGTTAAAATCCATACGCCGCCCCTTTTTTTCCGGCGCGAGCACAATTTTCTCGTGTCCTCTGCAATTTCTTTCACTTTCTTTTCCTTTGCGAAAATCCAAGAACTTTCGTTGGGTTTTCTTCTGTTTTATATGTCTTAATGCTTGGAAGTTGAGTTGCCTACCCAATACTGCTTGACGGCGAAAAGAATTTTCTCGGGAAAAAGGGGCCCATCTTCATGATCGACCATTTTAGAATCGTATCTCAAACCACCGATCATTCTCTTCACCTTCACGAGCACATCAACATTATCTCGGAATATAATGGTTCCCTCTGGCCGAAGAATTCGGTCCATCTCCAACAAAATGTCTTCAAAATCACACCTGGTGTCCGTTTAATTTCGAATTAGCAAGCAAATCGGAACTTTTTGTTGTAGAACTTCTCTATGTTCACATGGAAGCATAAACAAATTAAAACAAATTTTTCTTCTTTTTCTTGAAAATATGATAAGCTATCGATAATTATAAACCTAACCCAGAAAAAAAATCAAGGCATAGAAGATTACGTACTTATCCTTGTATAAGCTAAACACACCACTCGCATGAATGAGATCGTATGTTCGTGGATACGTGGAAAAGGCCTCACACCTGAACAAAATACGCCAAAAACCATATCAACATAAACCCAAATGGATTTTGCAGCAAAAGAAGATTAGCAATGCAACCAAATCCGAGCATCAAGAAACAAACAATAGGCACTTTATTCAAAAACATACGTATTAAAAAATAATAGTAAAAAAAGTCGTACCAGTCATGATATATGCCGATCAACCCTCTTTCGTATACAACGCCGAGGGTATTCTTATCGGCAATAGTGGGCACAACATTCATAACCCACAGCTTGGGAGACTCGAGTGCCGCTGCAAATCCCCCAAATCCGGCATTCATATCCATAATGTTCCGGAACCTTCCGGAGTCGATAATCTTGATAATCTTTCTATAGGCATTCACATGCTTTCTCCATTGCTTGTTATCCTCTTCATATGCCTCGACTGACACGCCAAGAATCGAGCCACTAGCAATTCGTGGGGGTACAGCGTAAAGCCTCTCAGGGAAAGGTTTGAGTTCATTACTGTCAGCAATGTCATAACTGGTAATGCAAGGCTCCATCTTTTTGTACCTATGAGAGTTGAGAAAACGAGCCAACAAATAAAAAGGCGGCTTTTCCTTCTATTTATGTGATAAACATAGTCCGAAAAATGTTGGAGGAATTTAAGGCCCAAAACTTCTCGCATTTTCATCATAATTTTCCTCTATTTACACTTCTTCAACTAATTGCTTTACAAAGAATATTAACAAACTACACCTAAATAAGAACAAATAGCAGATGAGTTTACTTAATGAAGTTTCTCTTGAACTGTGCAAAAGCTTCCAAAAAGATTGATAATTTGGAAAGAGCCACTACACTAAATGTGCACTATATATGTACTCATATTTTTTTTTAACTAAACAGTCATTCAAGGGCATAATATGTGGTATTTTCTAATAGTTTCCATATTACACGTGCTTTTATTTTTAATTTTATGCTAAAAAACAACTGTCACTACAAACTGTTCACATTCACATTCATACCAGACATTGTCAGTATCTTCAGATTTACACAATTCAGCTCCCGAATTTTCTTGTGCCGCACGGCATGAATCTGTATCCATTGATTTCTGCCAAATAGCAATTTCACCTTTCTCGGATTTTTTTTCCCAGCAGAGAAGCTTAGCAATCTCTTCAATCTTTCTCTGCTCCTCCTCGAGTTCTTCCTTGGGCCTCTGCCATGCCTGGTAATTGGTTCTCCAATTGATTGGTGGGCCCGAGAGAACCCAGTAGCCGCCAGGTCTAAGCACACGATCGACTTCCTTCATATACAGCCCATCTAAGCACAAAAGATTACAAAACAAAATTATAAACCAGCAGGTCAACAGATTTTCTGATCAAGCCTATTTACAGTGGCATTTATGCACAAACTTAACTTACGGAAAGTTATTTGTTGCACCCTGTATCATGCATGCCTTTTGCTCTTGCAGCCTTAACATTTTTTTTGTCTTTTCTTTTGGCAGATTTTACCAAAACAAAACTTCAATTTGCACGAACCTAAATGCATAGTACATTTTTGCAAAACATATATATTTTTTTTTGTAAATCTAATTTATGGTTATTACCATTTACTCCCCACTGTATAAGACAGCGGGAACAGTGGGCCATGTCGAATGCACTAGACGGGTACGGCAATTTTATTGTCCCAAGAACGCCAATGACAGCTGGCACACCCCTCTCGAGAGCAAACTGAACCTGGGCTTCGTGTGAGTCTCTTGGCGCAAATGACATGGCTATCACGTTTCTTTTCCACAGATACGCCCCCCAACTAGCAACCTGAAACAGCACCCAAAAAAAAAAAAAAACTTTATCAATGGCAAATGGCTGAAAATGGTAGCAGGCCAAAATCCCACAATTTTCACAAAAGATTACTTTCAGCCATTAATTTACTTTACACTAACCCGAGCGATTTCTAACTACACCCCCATCTCAATATTATTTAAAAAAAAAACACATACCCCACATCCGGTATCCAATGCAGTCCTAACGGTCCCGTTCTCAATCGGCACAACCGATGCCAGCTGGTCAATATACTTATCAGCTCCCTGAGGAAACTGTGTGCCCCCACCAGGAAACCTAAACACATTCCCTTCATACTGAACCCAGTTCTGAATAGCCTTCTCAACTGTCAAGCTCTTATACGGCACATTTGCATAAGGAACGTAATCACGGCTCTTTGGCCATGGGAATGGGGACACGTACCCATCGGGAGCTGGAATAAGGCAACGAAGCCTCTTCTCCTTCGGCGGGCAGTGCCTTTCGCGGTACACCATATTCGCACGGGATAATTTCATGGCTCGCCTTTGATCCTGGCAGGGAGTGTAGTCGGTGTACTTTGGGCTGCACGGTTTGTACATTACCGGCATTTTTGAATCCGGGCTGTCGATCACGCCAGCCTGGCTCGCATGGTGGGTCTCGAAATTGAGATTCGGGAGGATGTGGCAATTTTCGCCATTTTTGGTCATTTGCAGTGCTATGGAGTCCCCTTTACCGAACCCGCTCCTCTGCCACGCGCCCAGCAGGTAGAAAAAGGAACAGAGGCCAGCTACTATAAAGATGGTGATCGGGCCTCGGGCCCGAGTGCTGTTGCTCGAGTTTAACCTGTTTGCCATCGCGGGCCCTGAAAGCGTTTTTGGTTCTTGAATTTAGCAGAAACGCTACTGATTTGAGCAGCTGTGAACAAGTCACAGTTTGTATTTGTTGTTTCTCAATTCGAATATAAACGGAACGGTCGACGAGAACCCATAAACGACAGTGAATCAATCGATCAATATGTCATTCCTATTTAACAGAAGTCAGCCCATGAATTGGCTCGTGATTTAACAAGTAACAGAAAGTTAAGCCACTTGAACATCAGTAAAATTAGATGGCTAAGAGTATGGTGAAACGATTATTCACACATCACAGATTCAAGAAAAACCAACATCTCGACAACAGATTCAGGCAAGCTTCGATTCGAAAAACAAAAGCTAGGAAGAAAGAGAATCTAACGTTGATAAAGAACGCAATGAAGAACTGAATCTCATACCAAGCGCATGCCCCGGCTATGGAATCCAACCAAGGATCTCCAAAGCTTGTATCTTTATGCTACTCGCTTCCCCAAAATGCTGAAAACGAATTGGATAACTAGATTCCGAACATGAAACGATAGAGAAATTGGGTAAATAAAAAAACCCTAATAAATGGTGATGCTACATCTTAATTTAGGCATCCAAATCTGTCTCAGTACTACTGATTCTATATTGTGTATTTTCTATGTATATAAATCGAGCATGCTCCCCACTCGCTACTCAGTGTTTCTATCTTCTCTCTCTCTCTCTCTCTCTCTAAAAATGGTGGGATTTTTCACTCATGTAAAAGGGAAATTTTACAGTCGGATCCGACCCCAACTCATGTAGTGTTAACATATGTCACTCGATTCTTGATTTTCTTCGACTCCTCCGTAAAAACATCGACCCCGAACCGGCCCTTATCTAGGCCTGGGCAGGGTCGAGCCCGACTCAAATTTCTACCTTTGTTTTCTGGGTCGGGCTGGTCTGGCCCATCGGGCTAGTGCCGAAAAAAACATGACTCTGAATCGGTCCAGTTAAAATTCAGGCCGAGCTTAGACACGTAATCAACGGGCTTAATCGGGCCGGATCTGGGCCCGGTTTAGGACGAGTCGACAGGTGGAGCCACTTTGGGAGAAATTCAATACTTTCGAAAATAAACAAAATGTTCCAAAATCTCAAGGTCCAAAATGCCATATCCAAATGTTAGACGGCGGAGTGAGACTTGGGGGATTAAAACTACTAGTAAATTTATTTATATTAAAAATCATGGACGAGTTTCAACCTATATGTTGTAAAACTTATTATTTAGTATTGTTAAGTACAAAAATTTTAAAAATATTAATTTTACTAATTATCATTTTTTTATTTTACAATTATTTTTTAAATATAATAAAAAACAAAAATCGTTTTCTATATATATATATATATATATGAAAAAAATCTATATTTACGCCTAACCAGCGTCTGAACCGCCTTATCAATTTAGTCGTGACTACTTCGCAATCGCCTGGACCACCTCAGCGGTGCCTACCCAAGTGCCTAAAGCAGCAAATGAAAATCGAAGCGTATGAGTGTTGCATAGCGCCTAGGCGCCTCCTCGACGAGTGTCAAGCCCGACTTTTAGTACATAGCAAAATGCTTTATCTTTTAGAACAACTAGAATTTGGAATACAATTGGAGAACCCGAAAGTCTACATAGATTTTCTCTTTAGAAGCCGAAAGCACAAGTCATAGGTCTTGACAAGCTAGTGCGTCAAAATTTGTGGTCAATAATTGTGGTCAAAATTTGTACCAAACTTTGAAAGAGTAATGAATGACCATTAATATATATTATTTACCCTTACTGTTGTTGGTGAACCATAATGAAATCTTCTCCATTAATATCGCTTGGTGGCTGAGAATTTATTGGAAAGGCTCGGCTAAATTTCATTTTTAGTACATTATGTTGGTCATTTTCTGAAAATGGTCCATCATATAGGGCGTCTTCAAGAATGGTCCATTAAGTTGTCATTTTAATCAAAACTCGTACGAAAGTCAACATAGTGTACTAAATATGACAACTAAAATGATCACTTTTAGTACACTATGTTGGTTATTGTACGAATTGTGATTAAATTGGCAACTTAATGGACCAATTTTGATGACGCCTAAATGATGGACCTTCTTCGAAAAATGACCAACATAGTGGACCATTTTTTAAATTTTGCCTAAAGGCTCCCAACGTTCATTTAAATGAATGAAGTGATTTTATGGAGAAGATTTGAAAAATAGTTCACCCTTAAATGTGAGTATAGCTTATGATAATGGGGGGCCTCTTGAGACAGTAGGACTATAGTATGGACTTTAAAGTTGGTGATTGTCCCTCTTATGTAGTTGATAATTTATTTTTCATTGACCAAGGACCAAAGTTAGTCTTATCAGTCTTAAAACATGGTTCCTAATTATTGATTTATTTCATTTAGCCTTTAGCTAGTCTCTTGAAGAGGTAGGTTTTCAAATGAACTTAGCCAAATCAGGCTATAGATGTTTCGTGTTTTGACTCGTACAACAGATTCAAAAAATTTGAGACGACCTGAATTTGTGTCTTGTTCTAAATATGCACGTTAAGATTTAACCCACTAAGCTTTAGCAGTTCTGAAACCTTTCGTGTCCTAATTGCCATATGTGTGAAATCATTTTCCGGAAGATAATTTTTGTGATGAAAATAAATGTTTTCATTGATAAAAAGTCTATATCCAAATTGTTTTTTTTGCTATGATGTTTCAACTTGAAATAGTGTTTTCTTTTTCGTTGCTTGATTATCATCGACACCATAATCTTCTTTTTCCTATATAGAACACACACACACACGTGTTTACTGATATACACCGTTAGAATCAGAAAACTTGTATGATCCAACGGTAAAAAAAAAAAAGGTACATCCTCTCTTGTAAGTCTAATTAGTTAAATTCTCTAAGGATTTTGAGAGCCACTTGGGCCCGAACATACATATTGAGAGAGAGAGAGAGAGAGAGAGAGAGAGAGAGAGAGAGAGAGAGAGAGAGAGAGAGAGAGAGAGAGAGAGATGGGTAATGGGCCACCGTGGTACAACCCTTGGGGTTAAGGATAGTCAGAAGAGAACGACTTGGGCGCGCACTAACTCTATCCGTAGCAAGGTTTATAATGATTCACTATATCAATGAAATGGATGAACTAATTTATTCATTTTTTCCTATTTATAGCACAATAAATTATAATTTTTGTTATTATGCATTCAATGTCACATATACTAGAAATATTTTTTTACGGATCTTTTGGTATTTAATTTTTAGAAATATTTTTTTACGGATCACTTTTAGTACATTATGTTGGTTATTGTACGAATTGTAATTAAATTGGCAACTTAGTGGACCAATCTTGACGACGCCCTAAATGATGGACCTTCTTCAAAAAATGACCAACATAGTGGACCATTTTTGAATTTTTGCTCCTAACATTCATTTAAATGAATGAAGTGATTTTATGGAGAAGATTCGAAAAATAGTTCACCCTTAAATGTGAGTATAGCTTATGATAATGGGGGGGCTCTTGAGACAATAGGTTGTGATGGTCCATAACTATAGTATGGACTTTAAAGTTGGTGATTGTCCCTCCAATGTAGTTTATAATTTATTTTTCATTGACCAAGGACCAAAGTTGGTCTTCTCAGTCTTAAAACACAGTTCCTAAGTAATTATTGATCTATCTCATTTAGCATTTAGCTAGTCACTTGAAGAGGTAGGTTTTCAAATGAACATAGCCAAACCAAGCTATAGATGTTTCGTGTTTGACTCGTACAACAGATTTAAAAAATTTGAGGCGACCTGAATTTGTGTCTAGTTCTAATTATGTACGTTGAAATTCGACCCACTAAGCTTTGGCAGTTCCGAGACCTTCTCCAAGCTCGTGTCCTAATCGACATCTGTGTCAAATCATTTTTCGGAAGATAATTTTTTTGTGATGAAAAAATCGGTGTGTTCATGAAAAAGTCTATATCCAGTTATTTTTCCGCTATGATATTTCAACTTGAAATAGTGTTTTCTTTTTTGTTGCCAGATTATCATCGACACCATCATCTTCTTTTTTCTATATAGAACACACACACGTGTTTATTGATATGCACCGTTGGAATAAGAAAAACTTGTGTGATCCAACGGTTAAAAAAAAAAAAAAAAAAAAAAAAAA